CAGTGAAAGGTCAGGGAAGCTGGATGAAATTCTGTGGGGTAACCCCCGGGATGGCTGACTTCCCATCCAGGGTGGGTTGGGGAGTGATACTCCTTCAGTTACTTCCTGCTAAGGAGACCTGGGGCCCATTAATTTTCTTGAAAGTCCCGGTAACTTAACAGGCCCGAAGCCATGACTTTTGTTTTAAAATCAGAATTTAAAGGATATGAAAGCAGGTTCTGGCATCCAAACCAGTCCTTTTTGTTTCTTTAGCTGATAGATTTTGGGTATCATTTTCAAAACTTTTAAAATCCTCATCTTGAATGAAACTAGATCAGCTTTATGGGCCCATTCAAGTTACTAGGACGTTTGAGAAATGGGCCCCAGGCAAAACTCCAGTTGGTTGGGCTTGTGTACAGATGTATTACCTTACGTGCAGCTTGTTACATATAAAAATTTCCTTGGTTCCTTAAACTGTTAAGTGGAACTAAAGTTAACTCGTTACTGACATTCTCACTTTTGTCTGCAGGTGGTTTGACTGCTGTTATCTTCACAGATGTCCTCCAGTGTACCATCATGATTTTGGGTGCCATTGTACTGGCAATATTAAGTAAGAGCACATGATTATGTACCGGTATTCATACTCATGCATATTCACTAATATGCATCTTGGTTCATGATACATTTCTTATACAATTCAGCTCAGAAATGAGCTGTCCTTGAATTGCAACAAGAAAATAAGGCCTGAACTTGAAGATCGCTGTCTTCTAACTTGACACTGAAGGGTAGAATATCTTTGCATTTTATTAAAGATTGCAGGTTCCTTCATGTGAACATGATTTCGTGAACTTATGCATTCACGAATAATTATATATACCCCTAAAATTGCAAAGGAGATGATAGCTACAGTCATAACTATCTACACTGTAACATCAGTTTGCATATTCTCCATACTGTTCTCTGTACTTTTCCTAAAGTGCTGACAAGGAGAATCTGTAGCAAAGTTCCTTGTTAAGCTCATTTCCAAAAACGCAACACAAGCTCGATGTCGAATCTAAATCTGTCATCATTAGATGCCATCTTGGATTTAGGGAACCTTTCAAGTTGTATATGATCCATTCTAGTGTCCTCTTTGACTGTATCACCATGATTTTTGAGCAATTTACTCTATCTATTACAGTGACAGGGTGAAAATTTGTGTGTGTGTGTGTGTGTGTGTTATAATGGCCACCAACTTTTTGGAATTGGCTACCACTTAAAAATATTTAGGAGCCAAGTGCATGGCTGCCTGAAAAAAAAAAGTTAATTTTATGCCCTGTTTATTCTCTTGACCTTAACATTTGATTCAGGTGTGATATTGTAAAGAGGAATTAGACACTCTGGACACTCAGAGGTTGTTATCTTGATCTAGCACCAAACTTTGTAACTAATTTACAAGGAAGTGCTTTGCAGCCAGCGAGGAGAATTAACAATCGATCAGATCCTAGGAGTGAAAAGAGTAATAACATGTAGTGCTGATGGGGCTTTTTGATGCTGACTTTTTTGCTATAATGATGTTTTTAAGGCTTTGTAAAAGTTGGAGGATACAATGGTCTTTGGGAAAAGTTTGGAAGTGCCCACGGGACTCCTTACGCTCCTACTGTTGCACCAGTGACTATGGCAGTCAATATGACAAATGTCTCAATGCTGGGAAATATGACTACTGTGATGCCGTCCACTCGACCAGACCTGACTGGCTGCTTCAAATTGACACCTTACTGGGGAAACATGTTCCGTCCAATAGACGACCCTCACTATCCATGGCTTGGATTGTGGACTACTCTTCCTATTATGGGAGTCTGGTAGTGGTGTACAGATCAGGTAAGTCAAGAAGGTAGTTTAGAGATTTTGCCAATGACAAGTAGGCCC